GCTGTAATATCCCTCATTCCACATCCTTTTCTGAATCCGGCTTGAATTTCTGGCACGTCCCTGTCAGTATACTGCTGCAACCACTTTTGAGTGATCTTCAGCAAAATTTTACTTGTGTGTGATATTATTGATATTGTTTGATAATTTCCACATTCTGTTGGATCACTTTTCTTTGGAATGGGCACAAATATGAATCTCTTCCAGTTGGTTGGCCAGGTGGCTGTCTTCCAAATTTCTTGGTGTAGACAAAGTGAGCCCCTCCAGCACTGCGTCCGTTTGTTGAAACATCGCTACTGGTAATACCGTCAGTTCCTGGAAACTTGTTTTTTGCCAGTGCCTTCAGTGCAGCTTGGACTTCTTCCTTCAGTACCATTAATTCTTGATCATTTGCTACCCCCAGAAATGGTGGAACATTGACCAATTCTTTTTGGTACAGTGACTCTGTATATGCCTTCCATCTTCTTTTGATGCTTCCTACATCATTCCATATTTTCCCTATAGAATCCTTCAGTATTGCAACTTGAGGCTTAAATTTTTTCTTTAGTTCCTTCAGCTTGAGAAATGCTGAGCGTGTTCCTCCCTTTTGGTTTTCTAACTCCAGGTCTTTGCATGTGTCATTATAATACTTCACTTTGTCTTCTTGAGTCGACCTTTGAAATCTTCTGTTCAGCTCTTTTACTTCATCATTTCTTCCATTCACATTAGCTACTCTTCGTTGAAGAGAATGTTTCAGAGTCTCTTCTGACATTCATTTTGGTCTTTTCTTTCTTTCCTGTCTTTTTAATGACCTTTTGCTTTTTTCGTGTATGATGTCCTTGTTGTAATTCCACAACTCATCTGGTTTTTGGTTATTAATGTTCAGTGCATCAGATCTATTCTTGAGATGGTCTCTAAATTCAAGGTCACATTTTGGCTCTCATGGACTTGCTCTTATTTTCTTCAGCTTCAATTTGAACTTGCATACGAACAGTTGATGGTCTGTTCTGCAGTCTGCCTCTGCCTTTGTTCTGATTGATGATATCGAGTGTCTTTATCATCTCTTTCCACAGATGTAGTCGATTTGATTGCTGTGTATTCCATCTGGGAAGGTTCATGTGTATAGTTGCCATTTATGTTGTTGAAAAAAGGTATTTGCAGTGAAGAAGTAATTAATCTTGCAAAATTCTGTCATGTGATCTCCAGCATCATTTCTATCACCAAGGCTATGTTTTCCAACTACGGATCCTTCTTCTTTGTTTCCAACTTTCGCATTCCAATCACCAGTAATTATCAATTCATCTTGATTACATGTTTGATCAATTTCAGCCTGGAGAAGTTGGTAAAAATCTTCAATTTCTTCATCTTTGGTCTTGGTGGTTGGTGTGTATATTTGGATAATAGTCGTATTAATTGATATTCCTTGTTAGGCATATGGATATTATCCTATTACTGATGGTGTTACACTTCACGATAATCTTGAGATGTGCTTTTTGATGATGAATGCAACACCACTCCTCTTCAATTTGTCATCCCTGGCATAGTAGACCATATGATTGTCCAATTCAAAATGGCCAATATCAGTTCATTTCAGCTCACTAATGCCTAGGATATCAATCTTCATGCATTCCATTTCATTTTTGACGACTTCCAATTTTCCTAGATTCATACTTCGTACATTCCACATTCCGATTATTAATGGATGTTTGCAGCTGTTTCTTCTTATTTTGAGTCCTAATTTTGCTAGGTATTGCTAAATTCCTTTACACAGAATGTTCACATCTGATCTTACCTATTTCTCAAAGGCCATGAGCACCCTATGAAATGCACCCCTTACTCCTTCCCCTTTAGTTTTGAGCCCATAACCCTCCACATTTCCTTCACCGCATCTACCATGGTAGAAATGATGGAGCACATATTTCAGTTGTTTTTTTTTTGTTGCTATTCTATCTCCCCCATTAGACTGTAAACTCCAGAGTGCAGACACCTGGTATGTGTATTCACTTTTCGCCGCATATTCCCAGTGCCAGGGCATTTCCTCACGCAGAGTAAGAGCTTGATATTTATAAATTGAAGGTGATAAATTTGTGAATAAATAAATGAGTGAGTGAATATACTTACCTAGAAAAAGACAATTCAGAGTCTCTCTTTTACCCCCCAAGGCCTTGGAATTTCTGACACGGCCTCCTGATCGTACCTTGTCTTAGCACAAAGTTAGGAGGTTGTATGTCACATCTATTCAAAACTCCTGTTGACTGCCACCCCTCCCAGTCCATCACCCCAAATGTTTACAGAGCCTTTTCACAGCCCTATGAGGAAAGCTGGGCTGTATCCTTATCCCCATTCCACGGAGGAATAGACTGAGGCCAGAGGGGAAATACGGGGTTGGTGCAGGGCCAGACCTGTGATGAGAGTCCCGGCCACCAGCCAGAGCTAGCTGTACTGCCCATTGCTGCCTCTCTGGCTAAAGCTGGCTCAGCCTGCACCATTAACAAGGGAAAAACATGGGTGCCAGAAAATGCTTTTCTGGAACACCAGCTTTTGGGAAATATCTGTCCTAACTCAAAGCAACATACACTGAAAAAGCTGCAACTCCACAGGTGACCTCTGCCCACCTTCCCCACTGACTGTCAGAGAAAGGAGCACTCCCTTTGCCGAGATCTACACCCTAGGAAGTTTCATCAATTTTTGTTGAAAATCACCATTCTGAAAATTTCCCACTTTCTAGCACTTGCCTGAAACAGCCAGGGTGGACTACTTCCTGTGCTGGCACTCCTGGGTGGTTTATCAGTTTCACAAACCCATGGGGTGGAAATTTGGAACTGGGGTCAGTTCACCTGAGCAAGGCTCTCTTGAGCCAGCCCTGGTGACCCTGGGTTTGCTCCTTGCCCGCAGGACAGCCAGGGAGGGAGGCAGCCTGCAGAGCTTGGTGCCTGCATGGAGCTGGCAGGTTCGTGGGTGGTTCTTTCAGTCCCTGGATCCAACATAAAGCCACCATCAGGCACACAGACAGTGCTTCCCAAGTGCACCCCCAGCACCCACCTGTCAGCCCCCCATGGGGACTGATGCACTTAATGATGCTTTGAGGAGTGGGCCTTGAAGGGTGTGTCTCAGTGACCCTCCTTCACTCTGTCCCACACCCTGTGACAGCCAACAGCCCACACCAATTTCCTGCTTAACTAAAGGACATCTTCCTTCAAATCAGGATTTTGTCCAGCCTGGTAACAGGGTGGTCTGTGCAGCCCCAAGGCCACTGAGTGTGCACGTGTGTGTCAGGAGGAGGGCACAGGGGTGTGGATATTCAAGGGCCATCACCTAGCAAAGATCCTGAACACCGCCTGTCTGGGAGGAACCGGGTCGCACTGTGTGTCATGATGCATCTTAAATGGCCTGGCTCTCAGGTGGGCAACTGCGGCATGCCCAGCCCTAAGGTGTGGCCAAATGACGTTCTAGTTCTCCCTGGCCTGGGGATGAATAGTCTATCTCCTCCTGCCCAAACATGTTCTGTCCCGTGTCCCCACCCAGCACAGCTGCTTGCTTTCCCATCACTGGACCCAGTCCCCACCTCAAGGACAGGACGTGCTGTCCACATCCGCCTCGGGCCGCACATCCTGGGCTTTTTTAAAACCTGACTGTGTCACTGAGCCCAATAACCACAGAGAGAATCTTTAAAAAGACTCACAGACATATAATTAAAATCTCAGTGTTGGGTTTTGAGGCAGGCACTGGGCGGCTCCTGCCCCTGCTTTCCGGAGTCACAGATTTTTGGCATTGGAAAGTGACAGGAGGCTGGCATGAGACTGCCCTAAATACTGTCCTGGGCATTTCAGCACAGCTGGGAAGTTTGGGGTTTGTTCCAAAACCGCAGCCTCACGCACAGACTATTACACCAGCCCCTGCCTCTGAACACCCCTCACCTCCAGGCTGTCTTACCCTTGCCTCCACAGACATCTCCCAGTCCTCCTCCACTCAAACCACACTGCTCCCCTGCTGCCCCGGAACCCTGCTGCTCCCACTGGCAAGCACAGCCCACATGCCATGCCTGGAAGTCAAGCCCTCTGCAGTCAGGCCATAACCACACTCTTGTCCTGGACCCCACTCTGCTGACCTGGTGCGGCTTCCAGCGGCCTCCATGCCTGTGCGTAGGAGTCCCCTTTGCCTGGAAGGCCCGCCCCGTCACCTTTGCTGCCTGTCAAGACCGGTTTCATCCTTCAAGGCCCAGCTCAGATGCCACCACCCTGATGAGACCCTCTGACGTCCCCCAGCACTTGATCTGGGTCTCAAGGAGCTTGTCACTCCTACCTTGTTTTCCCTTGTTCCTTTCCAGTCTCTCTGTGGCTCTTCTTCCTCCTTCACCTTGTTCCATTTGATCCTTTCACCCTTTACTATTATTTTTGGTGCTTATTTTCCTGTGTGCCCTGAAGGTCCTCAGCAATGTGGTCCCTTTGCTGTCACTGGTCCCTCCCTTGACATCGTGACAAGTTCACACTCACTCCTCAAGGCCCACCTCAAATGTCAGCTCCAAGCTCTCTTCCTTCCTCCTCCTCCCATCCAGGTGCTTTGGGCAGATTGGGGACAGCCGCTGTCCCAGTGAAACGCAGTCATGTATGTCCCTGGCCACGAGGTTTTGCCACTGGGGCCGTGGCCCTATTTCTCCCTTGGGTCTGATGTTCATCTCCCCATTAACCTTGTGTCCCAGAGGAGGGACCTGTCCTGTCTCCTCTGTGGGCCGCGGAGCAGGAGGGGGCTGAGCAGGGGCAGGCAGTGTTTGTTGCGTGGCCCACGGGGCCAAGAATGAAAGCCCACCCTGGCTGAGCTCTGTGCAGGGAGCGCCTCACTAATGACCTGACAGAACCCTCCTAACCCCCTGGGGTGGGGGCAGAGCCTGTTTACAGAGGAGGAGATAGCCCTGCCCAATCTGGGTGCCATTCCCTGGCCACACAGCTGGTAAGCAGTGAGCCTGAGCCTGGGTCTGCTGTGCTCCGGTGCCACAAGTGACCACGCGGCCCTGCTCTGTCTTCCAGTGGAGCGCGACCACACCCTGGCCCACCAGGAGCCCTACTGGAAGGAGTTCTGGTTTGACCTGACCCAGATCCCGGCAGGGGAGGCAGTCATGGCTGCTGAGTTCCGGATTTATAAGGTGCCAAGCACCCACCAGGTCAACAGGACCCTCCACGTCAGCATGTTGGAGGTGGTCAAGGAGCAGTCCAACAGGTGCCTTCCGCTCGACCCTGCACCTGCCCCCCTCGCAGTCAGGTGTCTGTTGGTGTGTCTGGCCCAGCCCTGGGTGGGGGTTGGGGGGCATTTCTCAAAGGATAGAAAGAGGAACTTCCTAGGGAGACTAGCCTCAGAGGCAGGAGACATGCTTGACCCTGGAGGCCTCTTGGCACTGTGGAAAGAACCCAGCATCAGTCCTGGCTTCAAATCCTGGCCCTGCCAGTCCTGGCTGTGGGATCTTGGACAGGTCACTGAGCCTCCTGGGCCTCAGTTTCCTTGTCTGTACATGGGTGCAGCAACACCTTTGATACAGTAAGAAAGTGCACGTAGGCACCCAGCCCAGAGCCATGTGCAGGGTAGATGCTCCACAGATGTCCCCCAGGCGAGCACTAGAAACACAGGGCAGCTGTGCCGGCCTTGGTTAATTGTTCTTTCGTGTCCACAGGGAGTCTGACTTGTTCTTTTTGGATCTTCAGACGCTCCGAGCTGGGAACGAGGGCTGGCTGGTGTTGGACGTCACAGCAGCCAGTGACCGCTGGTTGTTGAACCATAACAAGGACCTCGGACTCCGCCTCTGTGTGGAAACAGAGGATGGTAAGACTCGAGCTCTGGGCAGCAGATGTTCTCCTGGGGTGCCTCTGAGGCTGTTGGCCACATCAGGGACAGTGGTCTGCCTCACTTTGCCCCTGGATGCCCAGCCTTTCTCAGATGTAACACTGGGTTATAACCCCCTCCGCACTGTGAGGACTCAATGAGGTAAAGCGAGTAAGGTTCCTGGCACAGTGCAGGACACATAGTAGGCCCTCACACAATAGTGATTTCCCTCCTCTCCTCCAGAACCAACATTTGAGTTGCTATGAGAGTGAGTCAATGCTTTTCTTCCTAAGAAATAGGAAATTCTTTCTACAGAGCAACCTTCTTTACACTGGAAGTTCCTACCCAGGGGAGGGGCAGTAGGGTGAAGTGGTTACACCCTCAGGCTTTGAATCAGAGAGGCTGGGTTTGAATCCCAGTTCTGCAACTTTCTACCTTGGTATCTTGAAGGTACTTGCCTCTCCAAGCCTGTTTTCTTGTCTATACAATGAAAATTCACACATTCATTTAATAGGTATTTTGGGGAAAGAGAAAGGCACTGGTGATAGAAGGGCCTCAGGTGGGCACCAGATGGCTGTGTTTGAGGAATAGCAGGAGGGCTGCCATAGCTGGAGCAGAGTGGGTGAGGGACAGAGGAAGAAGACAAAATTGAGAGAGGTTTTGAGTTAGGGTAGACCAGGGCAAGGTGTTTGGAGTTTTCAGGGTAGCTTTTTTTTTTTTTTTTTTTTTAACCACAAGGGAGTATGATAAGATCTAGTTTGGGTTTTTAAAACAGAACCCTCTGGTATACTCCCCCTCAAGGAGGTGGAGCATAACTCACCACCCCGAAGTGAGGGCTACGCCTAGTGACTTGCTTTCAAAGAGCACAGTGTGGAAAGGGGATGGGGAAGTAACTTTACACTGAAGAAAGCTGACAAATACTGCCTCGGCTCAGTGACCAAGGTTCACATCAACAGTGATAAGTCATGTTGATAGCAGGTACCCTTGATATGACGTGATGAGAATGGCACTTCACCTTGGTGATCTTCCTCCCAAAACCCACTAAGCCCAGTCTAACCGTGAGAGAAGCATCAGACAAACCCACGTTGGAAGATGTTCTACAGAATACCTAACCATTTCCTTTTTAAAAATCAGAATTATTAGTTATATTTCATCTTATAATTTTAAATTTAGTAACATGGTGAAATGGATTAATTTGTATTTATTATTTTTACAATTAAAATAAGAAAGTGAGTTTTTTTCCCAGTTGTGATATAAATTTTCTTTTTTTTAAAATCTTTTTTTGTTGTTGTAACTGACCATTAGTTCTTTACAGCTCAAGTTAATTTCTCATACAAAAATTTATACACATATTGTTTTGTGAACTTAGTTGCGATCCCCACAATGTGACAGCACACCCCCCTTTCCACACCGGGTTCCCTGTATCCGTTTGACCAACTCCTGTCGCTTCCTGCCTTCTCATCCTGCCTCCGGACAGTAGCCGCCCATTTGGGCTCATGCATCTGATTGAACTAAGAAGCACACCTCTCAGGTGTATTAGTTTTTTGTTTTATAGTTTTGTCTAATCTTTGTCTGAAGAGTAGGCTTTGGGAATGGGTTTCAGTTCTGAGTTAACAATGTGTCTGGCGGCCATAGTTTCAGGGGTTCCTCCAGTCTCTGTCAGACCATTAAACCTTGACCATTACTTCTTAATACTTAAAGGTCTTCAAAAACAAAGTCTGTGAAATTGTCACATCCTAGAGGAGCCTAAAGAGTCATAATGAATAAATGCAATGCAGTATCCTAGACAGGATCCTGGAACAAAAAAAGGATGTTACGGGAAATCTAATGAAACCTGAATAAAGTGTGGTGTTTGGTTAATAATAATGTGTTAATATTGGTTCATTAGTTGTGGAAAATGTACCGTAGCAACGTAAAATGTTAACAACAGGGGACACTGGGTGCCAGGTATATGGGAACTCTCTGTACTATCTCTGCAGTTTTTCTGTAAAGCTAAACTGTTGTAAAATACAAAGTTTATTTAAATCTATGTATAAAATAAAGCACCCTCTGACCTCAGTGGGGACAGTGGACAAGACTGAAGTGAGAGGGACCTGTCGGAGCCACACCGTGGTCCAGGGGAGAGCTGTAAGTGCTTGTTGGAAGCAGCTGGCACGGAGAAAAGTGAACAGATGTGAAATCATGTTATGAAGGTAGAATTGTCAGGATATATTTATAGCTGGGTGTGCAGGTGAAGGAAAATTTTTTTGTTTATAATTTATTTTTGTTGAGAATATACACAGCAGAACATACACCAGTTCAACAATTTCTACAGGTACAATTCAGTGACATAGATTACAGTCTTCGAGTTGTGCAACCTCCACACCTAGATTTTTTAAGTGTTTCTTTTTTTTTGCCAAAGTTGGAGAAAACTAGAGGAGGAGCAGGTTTGAGGTAGGAAATCAAGAGTTCTCTCGTGATATTATTGAGACCCTGGTAGACATCCACGTGCAAACGCCATTCCAGGGAAAGGTGAGTGCTGGAGAGCCAGGTATGGGAACCACTGGATATAAGTGGATTTAAAGCCATGGAAATGGACGGGGCACCCAGGGAAGTAACATAGCAATACAGCAAAGAGGGGACTGGCCGGGAGCCCTGGGGCCTCCATATCCAGAGGTCCTGCCAAAGAGGGGCCACAACTGAGACTGAGAGGGACTAGCCAGGGATGAACCAGGACACTGGGGAACAAGGTGACCCCGACGCCAAGAGAAGGAAGAAGGAAGCAAAGAAGCCTTCCCCAGAGGAGGGAGTGTCACCTGTCCTCTGTAGAGGTTGAGTAAGGCCAGGACTGAGAAGTGACCGGAGGGTTTAGACACATGGAGGTTGCTGACATCCTTGACCAGAGCAGCTCAGTGGAGGGTGGGGACGCAGTCTGATTGGGGAGCTGGAGGGAGAACCAAAGCAGGTGGCTGAGACACTAGACAACTCTTTTCCAGAACCTCTGCTGGAGGAGGGATCTGAGAAATGGGGTGGCTGGAGGGAAATGTGGGGTCAAGGAGGGCCTTTTCAGATTAGGAGGTAGCAGAGTGCTTGGGTGTGCCGATGGGGATGATTCAGTGGAGAGAGGAGAAGTACAGAATCCTTGACTAGTTCCCGGTGTGGGGACTCAAAGCACAAGGAGGGGCAGCCTCTTCAGGAGCAGGGACCCTTCCCCTGTGACTGATGGCTGTGCAGGACCATGTGTCCCTGCTGTCACAGTGAGGGGTGAACTTGAACTCTTCCAGGGAGGTGAAATGAGTGGGGCAGGCTGCTCTTGGAGTTGTCAGCAGGATTAAACAGGTCACAAAGTGGGTGCTCAGTGAGGGTGGCTGTCACATCACCCACCATTGTTCACCTTTATCAGCGCCATCACCATTATGTCACCCCCAGTGTCTGTTCATTAGGTATCAGTGTCTTGGGAAGCTCTGAAGGGTTTGGAGTTTATGGCAGAGGCTCCACAGGGTCAGGCAGGGGCAGGAGGGGCTTTGGGTCAGTGTCCCACTGGAGGCCTTGTGTTCTGCTCTGCTTTGTGAGGGCCTGGGCCTGAGACGGGGACTGGACCGAGGGCAGCACCTGCCCCGTCAGAGATGCTGGGTACAGAGGCTTCTGCTCAGCGAGCTGACTGGAGGCCAACAGCACAGAATCGCCTCTGGGCTTCCCCAACCCCAAACCTGGGAGCACAGCCGCATGAGCAGCTCCCTCCGGTGAGGCTGCTGCTGTAGCGTAGCGCGTATAGCACGAGGGAGCCAGACAGGTTCCATTCTGCCTGCTGTGTGGCCGGCGCCTCCTTGGCCTCTCTGTGCCTGTGT